TTTGGTGGTTTAGGGTTAGCCGCTTTTTCTAAAAGCTGTGCACGGTGACTGACGCTATTGAGTAAACTTTAAAATGATGCCAAGCCACACAGTTTGTTGTTGGTTTTGTCTATGTCCATGGGCGAGATGCAAGTTAGCAATAAGTAAAGCAACGTACCGCCACCCTCTGAGCTTCACACAATAGGTGATAAATGTCCAACTGTTGAGGTGATTAAAATATTCGTTATGGGGTTCGACATGTGCATAAGAGAACGAAGAGCAGTGTACTGAGTGAGACATATGAAAATAATTGTAAAACATTAACAGTTAACTTGACGTGTTGGAAATATTATTACTGTTAAGGCAAATATCATCTGGAGAAGGCAATTTTCTGCTAATAGGTACTGTCAAGTTCCAGTCATAAACACAACGAATATAAATGGAAAAATCATGTGGAAAAAAGCTAAAACTTTCAAAGCCTGTAAGCTCCCCTAATATTCATTTTCAACACGACCAGTAGAAGGTAGGTGGTTACACATTATTTTGAGAAAACATGTAGCTAAATAAAGCAGATTTGTGAATCCATAAATCTGCCAAAACTAACAATATCCTCGATATCAGTTGTGCTTTATGACAACTGGTTGTTGTCCAATTTGATTCGGTCATTTTCAACTTAATCAACCACATTTATTATTGTTACGTGTACAAAACTGCGTCTTAATAGTATTTTGGTAACCTCACAACTACAAGTTATAAAACCGTAACCAGGGTTTTGAAAATGTATAAAAATGTTCAAATTGATGCATAATTAACATGGTTGCAATCCGCAAGAACTTCAAAGAATGTGTTTATATCCTGACTGCGACTTTAGAATAGAAACATCAAATACGGTAGTTATGTTTGAAATAGCAATTTTTGTAACAGTAAAACAATATGGCAGTAATCTATACTATTAACAAAAGTTTGCTACTCATTTCAAAACCAGATTCTGGCACTTGACCTTTTGAATGAGGAAAGACAATGACCTATAAACTAGCCTTCATTGTCTATCATCTCTCCGTTATTTCCCTCTTTATATTATTACATGGAACATCCAGGCATTGTTTAAGGCCGAAAGCATTAGTCTAGTAGATGCGAAAATGAATAAGTACTTCATGGCGGTTCTCAGACTAAGCCAAAGTGATAGGACCCAAGCTAGATAGAACGGAATAAATTGGGAAAATATACTGTTGTACTCAGACCATGGAGAAAAAATGCTCTGTACACACAAGAAGTTGCACTGAAGTTGTCCAAAAGCGCAAAAGTCACTCGTAGAATGGGATTCTCATGGATGCAGGATAATCAAAGCATCCGTCGAAACGAAAGAAAGGACCACAATGAAGGTTAACCAGTGCAATACACTCGACAATAATAGAGATTAGCATAATGAGGGTCAGTTTTCTGGAAGGATGCAGTCAATCTTAGAACAGTGCTTTAAGTACTGGAATAATGTGATTGGAGATCTAAACGTTAGAGTTGGAATGGACGACACCGGGTACGAATATTTAATGCGACAATATGAACTGACTGAGAGAAAGAAACTGGAATGGTAAAAGATTTTCAAATAAATACGCATTCTATAAAATGGTTATAAACAAAACAATATACCCCTACAAATGAATACACAAAGCTACATTGTTACTGTTTGATCACAATACAGAGGACGAAATTAATTGTATTTGAATCACCCAAGAGGCGGTGGACTGGAAACAAGGACACCTCATCAAGACACCAAAAATGGAGATCTGAGCAGATGTGAAAACTACAGGGGAATCACATCACTATCAGTATCAGGAAAGGCCTTCAACACTGAAAGATTCAGTAGATGCCCAACTTTGAGACCAACAGTCCGGGTTCCGAAAGAATCGGTCGTGCACAGACCAAATCCTAACAAAACGGATCATTGTTGAGCAACCGAGTGAATGGAGTTTGTCCGTATACATCATCCTGATCGATTATGCTAAAGCATTCAACAGTGTGGATAGGAGAAATTCATGGAAACATTTTCAACACTATGGTGTGCCTGAGAAGATTGTAGTAACCCGAGATCTGACTCCATTTAGAGTGTATGAATGATTGTTATCGCTGATTCTCGTATATCATCGTCGACTTAAATCGCGTTAGTCCATAACGGAATTAAATAAGTCGAATAACGAGAATTGACTTGAGAACACATATATTTCGAATATGAAGCGAATAAAGCGAATAAAGCGAATGAAGCACAGCAAAGCAGAAATGACACGTATGGAAGATGGCTGGGAAGCCAACTCCATTTTAGTCAAGCATTACTCAATATTTATAGTCAGACAAATTAAAGGTACAGACATGTGATTAATGAAATAAGAAGTGCACACACATATACGCTCATATAAAAACAGTCTAGATTGATAAGCGAATAAATGACAAGGTCAAAATATGGCTCAAGTAGAATGAATAAAATAGGATGTCCGGAAGTTAGAATAAGGTATATGGGCTTGGCATGATAACTGACACTACAAGATCATCAATATCATACAGAATTCACACGATGGACTACACTTCAAAGTCATGCGCGGAGGACTAATCACAGATGCATTGCAAGTAAATATCAGTGTCAGACAAAACTGCTTACCCTTTTCCTTTCTCTTTCTTCTGGTAGTCGACTGAATTACGAAGAATGCGCCTCAGAGGAAACACGGAATATAATAAAAGCTTGCATGTAACTAGATTATTTGAACTTCGCGGATGACCTGACCCTTCTATTCCATGCACACCAAAAAAGACAGGTAAAGAAAGCCAGTGTAGCCGTAGTCTCTGCAACAGCAGGCCTCAGCATACACAAGTGAAAATCATGATCCTCAAATACAACACGGAGAATGCCAACTGAATCACAGTTGATGGAGAAACTTTGGAAACTTTTAAGTAGGCAACGTCGTCGATGAACGTGGAGGATCCGAAGCAGACGTTGCGATATTTACTGCTGCAAACTCATCCACTTAGTATTATTAACGCGTTTAAAAAAGGTTCCGTTGCAGAAGCAGGATAACAAAATGTTGGTGAATAAAAATATATAGGACTCAGGTTGTAATATTCGGTATAACAGATGTCGTGTCACATGGATGCTGAGTGAAAAAGTTGAGCTACTGATACTAGGAAAACTACGCTGTATTGACGGCCTTGCTTATGCTACTCAAAACCACGATGGAGCCCCGTGTATCTTGAGCAGAATTTAAAGTCAAGTGATAGAAAACCTTTTTGTCATTAAAAAGGAAGCAAATGCCTGAAATGTTTGTTCATTGAAATATTTGTTATCAACAAAAATCTCTTTCATGCAGCTAGAAAGTGAATCTAAAATTGTGCTTGGGCTGAATTTCAGAACATACATCTTCCTAAGGCATAATGTATGGCAAAGTACTTGACGTGATTCAATACGTAGTCAATATTGTTTCGCGATGTCAGATTTTTTCTTCTCTGGTCCTTATTTCTATTTCCAATTCCAAGTTTCATATTGTTGTGACTTTATGGCCCGCTGATTACCACGTAATCTATTCGCCAATCAAAATACAACTTATTCACTCTTATACTGTACTAAACCAATGACGTCCAACCTGTTTGATCGGCCTAACTTCCTATTGGTCCGTTGCTCGCCTAGCCCGTCCAGCTGAGTCAAGAATGCTAACAACAGCCTCCACTATGCCAACCATTTAAACTAGACACACTGAGTTTATATACCAAACAGACAGACCGCAACGCAGCAAAAAATAGGAAATAACATTCATATACAATAAAGCCCAAAAGTGGCTGTGAACGTGTGAGGCAGTAGTCAATAAACTGAACATAGCTTAAGAACAGTAAATCGTACAGTAATAATATATAGGTCAAAATGAAGCTTATAATAAGGGTAATATAGATATACTTAATCTAACTACTGAATATTTATACCATAAGAATATATAACTAATATTACTCCATTAGTAGGTCTCAGCCGTTACTCGTAATTTAATCTTCACTAGGATATAACACATATGTTTGTAGACGGTAGAGTAACATAGCTGACGTCAAAACTTCAACAGTTTGTAGAATCACCTTAGAACTTCAGCCGGAACCCTACTACTCCAACCTAAACTTTTTGCATTATCTCTGAAGTTAGTAGATGATGAAGACTATATGGGGCTATAACCCTAGCTAAAAACACTACTTCGATACTCAGTCTGCAAAACATAGCGGTTTTGTCTTACTACAAAGAATAATTCGACATAGGAGTTGACCACTGAGATCGAAGCTATCATTCCACCGTTATAATATGGCTTCCCACTGCTAACTCAATTTAACTAGGTGCTGTTTCCTGATTGGCAAAAAGAAACCTCAAGGTCGTCAGTATGTCATGCCGAATTCTTTAGGAGTGATACGGCTTATAAAAAAACGTATTGTCCATATTTCGGCGGTTTTTGTCGTTGACATCCAAGTAACTGGTATAGCAGCCTTGTTGCATATTGAATTCCATTGGAAGCACAAAGTAAGACTTACTACTGAGTTATTATTATTATTAATGGCTTTATTCAATATTATATTTTGGTACAATATAGAATTCTCAGTTATGTTCTGAACAAATAATTTAAGCGACGTATCACATCACTTCTTTCAACGTGGCAGGATCACTGATGCTGTGTGACGTCGAGTTGTTCTAGGTATAATTGATTAATCAACTATAATATACGTCAGTACACTGATGTGTTTAGTGTACCAAAAATTCACAGTTGTAGGATTATTGGTGTACGAACATCACCGAATAACAAAAGCTAGGATTATCTCTTTCAGAACATGCCGCAAGAAGGCAGTGAGTGGGACTTCCCTGGCAGAGGCTGTATATACGTGGTCAAGTAAAGGCATTTCAAGACAGAGAGCTGATTCTCCTCACCCTCGGTTGTACCAGGGCATTTGGGGATCCTATCATTCTTATCAATCAAAACTTCCCCCATAGTATTATAATCAATAGAGAATAATAAAGATAACCACAGTTTCATTCAAATAGATAACAACATATATATTTACAAAGAAAAGTGAAAACATTTTCTTGATATTCAAATCCCGACAATATTTGTTCTTTCTTTTTTTTTGGTAGATATTTTGATGCTTTCACATTGATTAATTATAAAATAAAAAATCTAGTTCGTTTGTAAGCTCTACAACAAAATGTAACTTTCTTATACATCAAATGATGTGTATAGCAAAGAAAATAATAATTGGAATTAGCTAAATAAATAAACATGATAAACATGTTTAGAGAATAATAGTAATAATAATAAACGAAATTGAAGGTAATTGTAAACAAAGACAATAACAAATCACTAAATAATATCAAGTTCTAAAATAAATGTCACAATTTGGAGCAGTAGTTGACAGATTACTGTAATTTTGTAATTCAGTAGTATGCATTAATTCAGTTCTATCATAATTGTAAGAATTCCATATAGTGGTATTTGGACATATTTGTTGATATGTAAATTTATTATTTATATTAGTAGTAGTAGGATATAAACTATGAGCAGTTTTATACATACTATGACATGGATTCGATCGACCATATTGATTATTGTATGTATGAGCTGTACCATAACTACGTACATGCATAGAATCAACTGCTGGAATTTCAATAGCTCCAGGTATATTGTCGTCAAGATCATCTTTCACTTCAAAACCAATTTCAAGTGAATTTTCACTTTGAATTGATGAACTAGCATTGGAAAGACGATCCAAACTTTCAGGTAACTGTAAAAATGATATTTGAAAAAGAATAAACTAAGTACTCGTACAACAGTCATTTTTAAAAATGTCCATTTAAATATTTACTGAAACTATCTAAACTACTTATAAGTAGTAGCATAAAGTTGTGAAGACTATTGAATTTTACTGATAATACAAACAGTTCCAAGTATAAAACAGCATACGAAAATACTCTTACTTACAAAATAGATAAATTTTGATGGCAGGAATTATTCAATTCATTTAGTATATAACGAGTTAATATGAGAATTTCGATGTATTGATGGAATATATTAACTGTATTATCAACTTCAAATTAGATGTCACCGCTATCGAATTTGGATAGAATACAGAACCTAAAGAAATCTTTGTTGTCAGTTGGAAATGTGAAGTATTTGATATATATATATATATATATATATATATATATATATATATATATATATGGAGTATTTGTGGAGATTGTAGTATTTTCACAGTTGAACTCACGGACTGATCTTAGATAAGCCACCATTGAAAACCTGGAAGTACCAGACAGATATTTCGTCTTATGGAACTACTGGGCAGTGTGCATCAACAATCCCGCACGTGACACTCTGACCCTTGACCTTCGGTCTCGAGAGCGAATGCCCAGGCTCCAGACCACTGCGCCGGGATCCAGCGATGTTAATGTCTAAATTCAATCAATCCATGATATTAAGCAACCCATAGTGATCTGGAGGTTGAGTTTGCGCGCGAGGCTGAAGGTCAAGGGTTAGAGTGCCATGTGCGATATTGTGGATGCAAACTGCTTAGTAGTCCCGTATTAGGACAAAGTGTCCGTCTAATACTTCAAGGTTATCAATGATGGACTAGCTAAAATCAGTTCGTGATTTCAACTGTGAAAAAATATATATGATACGATAAGTTAAAGGTGTTCCTCACGAAGCCCCAAGTTCATAGACCTGATTTTTGACGAGGTCAAAGAACCAATTGACTAAAACGATCTCATACTAAAACAACATACCTGTTAAGCGCTACCCTATTTTTAAAATACTTGGTGTAATAGTAACTTCGGAATGAATACAGTTCGCGAAATTCCAACGTTAAAGTAGACATTATTACCTAGATATTGTGTAGAAAACTAACCTTAGTCCAGGTTAAAAACTATTTCAGTAAAAATACGTGTAATAATATAATAAACAGAAATTTGTCTGTCAAAAACGACTTGACCTGTGTTGAATCGACTATGAATACGTCAGATTCATTTGAAGATGGTTTGGAAGAACTCTTTTCAATTACACTGTCTGTATGGATGAAACGAAAAGTAAAAACATAAATCAGTTAATCGTTTTTTTTATTTAAAAAAAACACTATTAGTATTATTAGTAGTAGTGTACAGAGCCAAGATTAGGGTCAGAAAATATGTAAGCAACGAAATATACATTATAGGCATAAACGAATGGTGGCTAGTAGTGGAATCCAAGACGCGAATTTTGTCCCATTTGGGACTCATCAGCCAGATGTACCTGCATCCTAGAGTTGATGTTCACTCAGGGACTCGAACTCTGGGATGCAGGCACATCCAATTGATGAATCTTAAATAGGATGAAGTTCGTGTCTTGGATTCCACTTAAAGCATTATCGAGACAATCCTCACACGATACACATATACCTATAAGAGACTGATCAATTGCAGTCCTAAACATAAATGGAACGATTCAAACAAACAATACCAAATGAAACAAAATATGCACTTTAAAAAATGATAGAAACGCAAGACTGTTATATTCAATTCCAATCAACATATGTGCCATGAATACAAACTAAGAATAGACCAAGTAGATTACAATATTTACTAATGGCTTTCCAAAAATAATTTAAGGTTTGTACATCGTCGACATTATAATCCTAATATATGTAGTATGAACAATTTGATTATGGTTATCAGTATATGAAAGGAAATGCAAACGTTCTACGATAGGAATTAGATGTACTGATAATAGTAAATGTATTCACATACATATATATATACACGCTCCATTAGCTACAATTATCACATTTATGTTGCATAACCTTTCTGAAAAAAACTATATTAATGAATATGAACTGGCAACTTAACAAAGTTAATTCAAGTTGGTAGACTGCATGATCGATATGATTTAAAGTAACTGAATATGAAGAAGAAGAAAACCGAAGTCATTGTATGACTCTAACTAATGAATTTCAGATTATTAACTCACAACTTAAATAACTAGAATGTATAGTTTATACTACGAACAGGCTACTGGAGTTCATCCGTGTTAGGTATGAGGTAGTTAGTCACGAATGGCTTTGGGAAATGTTTTCACATTATCATGAATCAATCGAAGTCAAGCATGTAAACCGTTTGATCCTGAATTACTGATCTGAATGTTAAGTGCTTGCTACAAACTTGGAGATTGCGGGTTTGATCCCGTTGATGATTCAATGTAAATTCAACAATCTTCAAGAAAATGTTTACAGTAATAACTGAGAATAATTACAACAATCAATATAGTTCACTAATTAAATTACAATTCTATATTACTTCAACTTGAGCCGTACTTTAGACGTAAAGTCTAACACAGGGACTAACTAGCTAAATCGCTGACAATGACAAAACTTGATAGCTAGTTTTCAATTCCATTTGCTAGGGAGCAGACTCACAAAGCCCATATCATGTAACTGTCCATGTTTTAAATAACATCTAATCATGATTACTTTTCTTAATAATAATCAGCATATTTTTGTAAAGCGTTTGCTTTTTATGTTAAAGGTAACTTGTCCAGTAAGAGTAATGAAACGACATACAATCAACTGTTTTCATTTTGACAACAAATATTCATCGTAAATGACTATCCATCCTGATTCATCAATAGAAACTTACCACCCAAAATTACGGGCTAAAAGACCGTTAACAGTTCAAAAGAAAGCTACTTTAATGAATATCGAATTTAAAGGCTACAGAAATCTTGAATAGATGAGCTACAAAATACTTTATAAAAAAAATTTCTATTCAACTAAGCTTCATATTGTCTTCTTAAGCAGGTCTGCTATTCACATATATGTTAGGGCCATATCGATGTGAATCTAAAAGTTTACTTGTTCTTGAGGGGCAAGCTATATAGCCTGAACAAATCGAACACTTTCTAAACGTATTTCAGAACATTCCCCAGCATAGCTTTTAAAAGGTGAATGAAAATTGGTGTGTGTAAACGTAACTTTTATAACCGACTGATTTGTTCTGTTTTTTCATATCCACTAATTTAGTGGTATCGAGTCATTATTAAATCAATTTAAGTGAGCAAATGACATTAACAATTCAGTAAACTAATCATTTGTTCACAATTACTCACAATTACATGTACACTTTATGTATCTAATTCATAATATTCAAGCAACTCGAATTGAAATAAAAAGCTGAGATTCACCAAATGAAAATTAAGAGCTTTATCCAATACAGCCTTAAGATATTCAGCCATAACTGTGAAAAAGACCATAATTTTGCATTATTTACAAAGTAAATAGATCTGTCAATGTAAAATGAATTGGATGAGGTTAGACATTAACACTGTTGGATGCCAATCGGTTCAGTGGTCTAGAGGTTGAGGGTTCGTGCGCGAGACCAAAGGCCATGGGCTCGAACCCCGCGAGCGAGATCGTGGAAGCGCATTACCGAGGAGTCCCACAATAGGACGAAACGTCCGTACAGTGCTTCCAGGTTTTCAATGGTGGTACAACATCAATCGTTTAATGATCTCGATCATAAAATGAATGAATTTCGACATCTTGCAAGAAACAATCTAGCAGAACACTCGAATACATTATGCAATACATTTCAAACAATCTGACCATACATATACTTGTTAAATACACTTATATATGAAGAATTAAAAAGTGGAAACAAAGATGATAACAATAAAGTACACAATATGAAAACTATGGTGGATAATAAGTCAGTATTGCCAGGGTAGGGTTAAGGCTAAGAATAAATTGTTTTTGAACACATAAAAAGAATTTCAGTTAAAATGTAATCTGCTTATTAAGGGAACTCAAAATAAATCAAGAAAAATATTTCTTTTACAATACGAAGAAGAGATGGATAATCAGCTCCCTTTTCTAAACATATTGATTGGTAGAAGAGATGATGGCTCCACGTTGCGAATATAGAAAGCCATTATGAACAGGCCAATATCTTAGTTTTTATAGCCACTGTTCAACTCAGTACAAACGTGGATTATTAAAAGGCTTATTTAATAGGATCAATCGTATTTGTACTAGCGATACTATTGCGGGAGACGTGAGACTCTTAACTGAAACATTGATGAGTAACGGTCATTTATTGAAGTTTATGAGCCGTTGGGAAGACATTAATATGATGAGAGATATGACGTTTATGAAACCCGAAAAACGAGTCTATAATATCTTACCATTCAGAGGTGTCTCAAATAGTCTCACGTTCAAATGAATACTTTAACTAACTATCAACAGGACATTTTATGTATCCCAACTAGTCATTATCGAAAAGTCAAGGTTTATGTTTCACTGAAAATTTAAACAGCATGTAAGCGATATTGTCACATTCCCTTTTGTCTATCAATTTATGTGTATGTGTAAAAACACGTACATAGGAAGGAGCAGTGGCGAGCTGCGAATAAGGGTAGCCAACACATACCTAAATGGCTGCAAAAACAAATGAATTCCAACAGTCAAATAAGAACACAGGATAGGCAAATATCCTTCACAATTGCGAAGCATTTGATTGAGACTGGTCATACTGTTTATATCAAGTCAGCCTTTGTAATTTTGTACAAAATTTTAGAAGGTGTATATTAAGGTTTTTTTTAAGTCTTGACTATGCGAAAACTGAAATTCATTTTATGTCAGTCAGTCACTTACAACATAGGACTAGGCACATATATGCATTGGTCCAACTTGCCACACCTTATTAGCAAAACAAGATGAGCGTCAAATTCATAGAACTATTTATTCTTAACCTTAATCCTACCCTGGTAATACTGACTTATTATCCACTATAGTTTTCATATTGTGTATTTTATTGTTATCATCTTTGTTTCCACTTACCATTTAATTTCTCATATATAAGTGTATTTAACAAGTATATGTATGATCCGATTATTTGAGATGTATTGCATAAATATATCATATAATTCTGATAACCGTCGTCTTCTCATCGAATCATCCAAATATATCAAAGGGACTAATTGTTTTAAATAGAATATTAAACTAACCTGATATAAGGACACCATTTATCGGAACAGTTACAAAGGGTATGCTATCTAGATCATTTCCACAAACACCGACACTACCACAACCATCGTTATCGTCATCAGTATTATTATTATTATCATTATTACTCAATATTGTATTATCTTGTTGTATATCCAAATATTTTGAATTAGATTGTATTGACTCGGAATCAGTTAGGCTACCATGATCCTTAGTGTGTTCAATAACACTGAGAATTGAAGAAGTATCACTGATACCATGTATACTAGGATTAATATGATTATCTTTAACAGTAGCTACTACTACAGTAGTACGAGTATTAGTTGGATTATTTTCATTATTATCAATATCAACATCATATTCTTTGTCATTTTGTATAGTTTTATCATATTCATTATTAAATAGAAATTCTGACTCTTCAGTTGAATTCAAGTGAGAATTTAAAGCAGTATGAAGAATTTGTAAATCTTCCTTGATTTAAAAAAATAGTAAAAAAATAAAAAAATGACACAATTTGCATGTAGATCCATGTATTTAATGCTTCAAATTGTATACTTTGTATGTTGCATTCAAGACTATACATAATAGTAGGATGGAAGGAAGCTAGAGGTGGTCAAACCAAGAAATGATATCAGTCCATAAAGTCATTGAACATTGGACTGAGCCATGTTGATGAGTGTAGACTACCTGATTGGGGTCCACGTGATTGTCGTAACCAACGGTTAGAGACTTCGAATGACATGGTTCAAAAATCGTTTGCAATGGTGCAGGTGCATCCATTATTTGTCTTCCTCCAAATTCTGAACTCCTGAATTCCTCATAACTAGTTTTTGTGTTTTTATTTCACTAATTTATAATTTCTTGAATCGCATCTTTGACATCTTATCTTTTAAATAAATATGCATACTGTTGCTAACTCTACCATTCTGGAATTTGACCTGAGAATTTCAAGTCTCTACGTTAACGAGTTATGGCTACTTGAACTGATGTAGCCATTCATATAGCTCAATATTCCTTCTAATTATCTAATTGTGAATAAACCAGTCATCTTAATGTCAAATAACTCCGATAAATATAGGAAGCAGAAAGTCATGTCATCGATAGCAAGATATATCATTGATTTCGATAATGTAATTAGAAGACGAAGACTATCAGAACTATGTGATATATTAGCGCAATACATTTCGAACAATCTGATCACACATATACTTGTTAAGAGCATTTATACATATAAATAAAAGGTCAACTAGACTGGAAACGGGGTAAGAGGAGATAAGGATAATGATAAGAGTAATAATAACAATAACAATAATAATAATAATAATAATAATAATAATAATAATAATAATAATAATAATAATGTGAACACAATTCGTAACCTAATCACTCTGGATAATAAGTCAATATTACCAGGGTAGGTTTAAGGTAAGAACAAACTGTTTTTGAACACACAAAGGGGGTTTGAATTTTCGTATGGCTAAGGCTTCAATAAACCTTGGTATACGCCCTTTTACACTTTTATACAACACTACGAAAGCTGAATTTAGATCAATCTTGTGATCTGTTTCAATTATATGTTTAGCAATAGAGGATGATGGTGACTAATTGTTTTACATATCACTGAAATAAATCGTAGAATTAACATCAATTAACCTTTAAAAATGTCATATAGAAATCGTGAAGGATGAATAATTAGGTTTAGAAAAGTTTTGCCTATACACAAATTTAGACTCATCCATTATTTGTACAAAAACAGCTTATCATGAGCCGGAATTAATTGTCCCGAGGTAATCTTCAAGCCATTTTACACTCCCGACCGTTGTTGTGAAACTTCATCAGTTGAGATGGCTTGGACACGTGTTACGTATGCCCAACCACCGACTGCCTCGACGTGCGATGCTCAATGGTATAGGAGTAGGTTGGAAGAAAGCTAGGGGTGGCCAGACCAAAGTCACTGACAAGCGGACTGAGTCATGTTGATAGGTGTAAAATACCCGGTTGGGATCCGCGAGACGATAGCAACCGATGGTTAGAGACCTCCAGAAGAATCTTTCCACGGTGTGGGCAACCGGGAAATGATAACCGCCCGCATACCTCTAACACCACTCCAGACTGACTGATTTTACACCCCTAAAGTGATGTGATAATTTCATATCCTTTTACATATTCAATCAATTTTCTCTTCTTTTTATTCTTCTTTATTTACAATTATCACCTTGTGTTTATTAGAAATTTTATTTATTTCATTATCTTTTATAAATTTTCCTAAAAACAGAATGACTTAACAGTTAGTAGTGTGATTAGATTGTTTAAAAGTATGAGTGATATCATAGATAGATCATATGTTTGTGAAGCTATAATTCTATCTCTTTTGATTGTCCTATTGAAGTTTTATGGTGAACAAGAAGAAAAAACAAGCACAAACACAAACCAAAAATAAAGAAAAGAGTGAAAGGAAGAACAAATATTATCAATGTATACAAGTATTTGTCAATATTTAAATGAATAGTTTGACAGAAATTTGGAGCCAAATATTAGAAGAGAATATTATGGAAGAAAACTATGATCATCCCATGCCGTGAAAGAAATGGTGAGGAATATACAATATATAAGAGTGTATTTTCGGCCCAGTGATAATATAGGATCAGCATTAATGAAAGTTAAGGAGAGGTTTCCAAAGAAGAAAAAAACAATAGAATGTTGTCTATGAGATCAATTGTTATGATTGAAGTGAAGCTTATTCGGGATAATTGAATGTGAGGTTGAAAGAACACAATCAGTGTTTGAAATATGTTCCTAAACCTCGGACGATTTATAGAAACTTGAGAATAGGTCGGCGATAAAGTTATATGCATTGGAAACAGGACACAAGAATAAATTTGAAGAGATTAAAATACTTCAGAAAGGATTTATCATGCATACAGAAGGATTGACAGCAGAAGCGCCGTATATATGGGCCATCGATTGTCTCAAAATAACTCAGACTTCATTGTTCTTGCATTTTCCTTCCAGTCTTTACTGTTCGATCCTCTTGTCTCTCTGATTTCAGACCTTCTGTTTACGACTAACATCATATACTACTTATGTCAATATAAGTAGCACACACCACACTAGTACCTGGCCATAGATGTCTTAGAAATATTGCTCACATCTGCTGGGATTACCGGGTAAGTAATAGTGAGGTTAGACACAGGGTATTAGGGGACGATGGTAAATCAGTTCATAAGGTTGTGAATCTTCATTGACTGAGATGGTTGGACCACGTGTTGCGTATGCCTGAACACCGATTACCACGACGCGCAATGGTAACTAGTGTTGAGGATGGTTGGAAGAAAGTTAGGAGCGGACCAACCAAAACGTGACATCAGTGCTTGAAGTCACAAACTCCTGGTCTGAGTCATGTTGGTAGATGCAGACAACTTGGTTGGGGTCCGCGTGATTATGGTAACCAATGGTGTTGGAGAGTGTGGGTGACATGGCTCACAATGGCGTCGGTGTATACACTCCTTGTATTCCCTTAAACTATGAGAATAAAATTATTTCATATCTTTCTTTCTACGAACTAATTCTTTCTTCCTGTACTATATCCATATACACAAACGTTCTTTTTATATATCACTACAATCGAAGTAACTGCTTCTATGAATTCAGTGTTCATCTTGCTGTGCTAATAAGGTATGGCAACTTCGACCGATGAACATACGTGCCTGATGCTACGTTGTAGCTGACTGACTGACTGACCACATACAAATAAACGTTTCAAAAGAAAATTTAAACAAATTAACACTAAATATTAACTACTATTTATTCGAACTTACACACACACAAACATAAACACACATAATCACTCATTCATTTCAATTGACATTGTGAACTTTTCACATGATCCACATTGAACTGACTTATATTATGCAAACAATTAAAGCCAATTTCATTTCCTACTAGGATTGCATAATCCCTTAATGTCTAGATTTGATTATATAACATGGACTATTTTAATTTAGATTATTTATCCTGAAGAAATCTAGACAAGTTAACTGGAAGATACACTTGATAATAACGATCGATTATTATATAATAAAGTAAAAGAAAAGAAGACATACTTCAAGATATGGCCATTCACCGTAAATTGAATTCAATCGTTCACGTTCTGATGCTGATGTGATAGTTAAATACATTATGGAATTCAATGGATGTTTAAAAGAATCTAATAATTCAGTCTGTTGTTGTTGTTGTTCTCGATGAGTGTTATTTGTTTGATTTTGTTTATTAACTAATTTTTCATTAGTTTCACTATCAAATTCAATTAATTGTTTTTGTAAAGGTTCAACTGGATGTGCACCATATCGTAAACTTCTTAAAGCTCCAATAGCTGAATAATAATCTAATGAATAAACAGTCATTAAATAAGCTGTAACAACAGCTACATTAGCTGATAGACCTGAATCACTAATTAAAAAAGAAATATAAAAGAAAAATTAAAAAAAATTGTTTAATAAACGATCAATACAAAAATGAATTACAATTTTAACCATTGCACAAGTTAGTGACCATATGAACTCAGTAACTAAGTGGAGAATGTGATGGCATTTGAAGCGAACAGTATTGAGTTCAAGTCACGGAATGAACATGAACCCTTGGATCTAGGCACATTCAGCCGATGAGCCCCAAAATAGAACGAAACGCACGTCATGGGTTCCATTGCTAGCCACAATTTATCTTTGCTTATAGTGTTTAATAAAGTTTTTATATAATCTTGGTTAAGCAACTGTTGAAAGCCAGAAAGCATTGGATAGTTATTTTATCCTAGTATAAGACTCTTTCGTAGTGCCTATCCACGACTGTATATAGGATTGAAAGATAATTGACGATAATCTCGTATTGATAAACTAAACATGCAAACTATTGAAAGCTTGACCGGATGTTTGAAAGTTAAGCATTCACCATGAGACCTAAAGATAACTGGTATTAACCCAACTGAAGTCGAAATTGTGTACAGCTGAGAAGTCGTGAACTCAGATGAGACAGCTGTTCAGTACTATCTAAATTTCGACGGCTGTCTAACTAATGTTAGTCTATGATGTAACCTATGAAATTTAGCAATCTCCACAAACTTCCTGTAGTAGCATATTTATTATATCATTCTGCTATTCAGGCTCATCAACTAGACAGTGACACCAATCACAACATCCCAATTCTCAGTAATAACCAATCATCAAATATTGACAGATGTTTTTCCCACGATTATGTAAAATACCTTATAAATGTATTGAGTAGTGTTTGCTAATTTCATTGAGTTTACTTGAAGTAAATAATTATTTTATAAAGTTTAATTTTCGTTTTTATAGCTAATGTTCATTTTTATGTAATCATTGAAGTGTCATTGTTCTGTATGAGTCTCTCAATCAATCTAGTTATATGTTGGATTCATTCTTGTGATAGCATCCCAACAGAAACATGACAGGATATCGATCTTCATAGTTTACACCAACAGACGATGATAGTTTAATAAACATTACTGTTGTATTCGAAGAAGATTAAATAATGGATAACTTCCGGGAACTATTAATACTGTTATTATATATATATATATATATATATATATATATATATATATATATATATATATATATATACCTTTTATCATAAGCATTCAATTAACCTACAATACAATTTACCATTCTTAACTTATTCCCAATCTATTAGTTACAGGTTTGTTTTACACTCATAGCCACATTTTGGTTTGATCTTGTATAATTGTTATCTTCTACTCTATGGTATTTTGCAGTCTCATTTGCTTGTACATAAACTACGTATGTTTGATATACACTAATCATACAGTGGAGGCTAAGATTGATTGCCGGACTCAACGGGAAGGGCTACGCGAAGACCACTAAGGTTTCAGAGTCGACGCAGGGCTGCTAGTGCTACTTGACGTATCACTGGTTTAGAACAGGAACAAGATCATATAAGTCGGTATCATGACTGGTGATTCTGTCACTTGATAACTAATAGAGGCAAAAGTCATAACAATTACAAACCAGGAAACATTGAACAACTATGTTGTCATAGTATGCGACCACTTTGAAATCAATGTCCATTACCCCACCGGGGATGGAACATAAGATCACTAGGTCTGGTAATGAATGTTCAACCTTTAAATTAGTGAGTTAGTAGCCAATAGTTTACATTTCTAATTTCAATCAATTGGCAATTTTGTGAAACCATCTTCAATGGTTGTACAGATGGATAATTTTAAACAAATATCGACCTACTACTTTTTATTCAGTGTTGTGCATTAACCTTATATACACATTAGAACTATCTAAATTAAGCACGATTTAAACAATTTAGTCAAAATGTTATTTAATAACTCATAATAGCCAGAACAATCGATACGTACCAACTAGAGAAATGAGGTTATATTGATTTGTTGGAAACATATAATGTTTATTAGATATTATATTTGAAACAGAAGATTTAAGGCGATAATGTAATGTGTAAAACATTTTACTTTTAATTAACATGAGCTCACAAGTTCAAATCAAGTTTGATTAACTACAGTGGTTGTAATGACCAAGTAATGTCCTTAGTGGTCCCAAAATGTATGTGGTTTAAAACTGAGCATACAGAGTGCCCAGAACGAAGCAGGTGATTTTCTTTGGAGTCAACACCCTAAGCCTTCGACCTAAAGGTCTGATCCACAGGCGGTGGGGCAACGTCGAGAGATGCAATCTCATGGTAGCCAGTGACCAGCAATAGGTTCATACACCATTTGATAGTAAAGCCTATGTGTAAGATTGGTTTGGAAACAGGGTTTGTCAACTCTCGTAGTTGGATCCTATGTAACCACTAATCCCCCGACGCTGTTGCTATCTTGACGTGGTGGTCGGGTATGGTGATCGGGCTTGCCTATCGTGATGAAACAACCAAGCTATACTGGCTGGAACAACTGTTCATCAAGGTCCTACCATGTCAGACAGGTCGGTTGAAGAGCAGTCAGACTGAAATCAACAAACCCAAGGTCCGAAGGCGAAGTCGTACTGCTGACTGTACAGAGGTGTGACAGCAGTAAGGTGTTTCCTTCAGACAACCAGAATGACGGCGATGCTACCTTCCCAAAACAAGGGGTGGGGTTAGAAATGGCCGACCACAAAAATGTACACCTCGCCTTATCCCACGGATATCCGTCTCCGGTGGTAAGGTCCCAAAAAGTACGGAGCTAACACAAAAATTACTCACAAAAAGGTCGTGTGTGACCGACCTCAAGAAGTTGTCCCTTGGGCACGGTGGTCCCTCTCTCAAGTCATTAAGACCACCTCTAATCCAATTTCCTTTTAAGGTACCTCCAGAAGAACCCTTCCACGGTGTGGGAAACCCGGGAGTGATAACCACCCACATACCTCTAATAGCACACAAGACTGAACCACTAATCCGGTCCAAGCGTCGGGCATTCGCTTTTTGTCCTCTCAATTTCGTAAACAACAGTAATGCCGCGAGAAGGCAGTGAGTAGGACTTCCCCGCAGAGGCTGTATACACGTGACCAAGTAAGGGCATGTCGAGAGGGAAAGAGGACTCCCTCCACCCTCAACCGTACCAAGGCATATATATATATATATATATATATATATATATATAATTCGGATTTAAGGGTAATAGTACTACACCTGCACAAATACACAATATGATTGAATGATATATATATATATATATATATATATATATATATATATATATATAGAGAGAGAGAGAGAGAGAGAGAGAGAGAGAGGGCTTACCTGCACACTAGTACATTTCCACTATCCAATCGGGCCCGATGAATAAAATCATTGGACAATTGAATTTGATTTAGCAAACTATTCTCTAATTTTTCATTGACAATAAGATGTAAATATTGACGACTTATTGACTATATTATTTTGAAAGTTACAAAGAAGAAAGGATAGTAAAAAGCAAAATAAAAGAAAGAATATCACATCAAATAGGAATTATACTTCAAATGAATTGTGAAATAATGAGCTAGACAGTATTTGTAGAGCAATAACTCGGTGTGTAAGGCCATTCAACTCTTAGCCACAAGGCGACAAGTTCAAACCCCTGCTTTAGTTTGTGTAACTAGGTCGTATCACTCATTAGCATGCATACTTATAGTATGGCTCGGAGACAAATAAATGAATCCATACCTGGTAAGTGAGTTTAAGTAGGTTAGTATTAATCCCGATCAGATAATTATTGACAATCAGAGTAGACTATATTGATTCTTTTTATCCAATGGGTTGTTTTTCTTAACTTAATTTCAGTCTAGACAAATAAGGAGTATCTTATGCTCAGTAATCATACAATAGGAGTAACTCAAATTCTAGCATACAAATAAACCACTATTTGGTTATTGATTCGAGCAACTCTGTTGTCTTTTTATCAGAAATCTCAGTGAATTCCTCAAACTTCATGGATGATAGTAAATAATATAATATCAGCGAAAAGAAATCATGATACACTATCAGTTGATTTATATTAAGAAAAATGATAGATTGCACTTTAAACAATTATTATTTAATATCTATTTATTTGAACACATAAACATTGGTACAAAGGGGCACTGAATACACATGAGCTACATAAGTCACTTGATTTGTGCGTGGGCTGTGATACTTCTCGGGTGCCCAGACCGAAGCAATTACAAACTAATGCCTCTTGATGTCTGAAAATTACGAGTTCTACCTCAAAATAACTATCTGAATTGACAGAGAAATTGTATATTCAATCTCGCTAAAAAGATTAACACAATGGTTATATGACGACAAAGTCAGTTTTTTTTATCGACACTGTTACAAATGTGAATAGTTCTTTTTCACAATCATTGAATAGAACACTAAACTATTTAAGATATGCATAATTAATTCCAACGATACTATTTATTTGAAGTGAGATTTATCAGTTTTCACTTCTAATATACTACGATACAAATATACTGAATAGATAAATTTAGAGACATTATAAATCAAGCTGAAAGGCATAAAATAACTTTTTTCAGTTTCAATATCAAAAATAATTCATTTTGATAGTATTGAATATTCACATTATAACACTAGTTAATCAACACCAACTATGATAGCCCCCAAATGCCCTGATACGGCTGAGGGCGAGAAGAGTCAGCTCTCTATATCCAAATCTTCTCACATGGCCACGAGTATACAATCACTCCCACAGTAGTCTTACTCACTACCTTCTCGCGGCATTACCGTTTTCTACGAAATTGAGAGGATAAAAACCGAATTTCCGGCGCTTTAATCGGGTTGGTGGATATGGAGGATCCACCTAAGGGAATGAAAGCCGTGTGAACCTATTGTTGATCACCGACTACCATGGGACTGTATCTCTCGACATAACTTCACTGCCTTGTGGGTCAGACCTTTAGGTTGAAGGCTCCAGGTGTGGCCTGGGCATCTGGGCAGTATCACAGCTCATACACAAATCAAATGACTTGTGTGGTGCATATGTATTCGGTGCTCCTTTATACCAATATTAACATGTTCAAATAAATAAATTATCTCAATTATTAATTAACATAAATTCTCCCTTCTTCTATAATTAGTTATTTGAAACTTTGTAATCAAATTATTATCATAATTAATTATACTAATATAATTATACACTTATAATCCCGACCGTTGTTGCTATCTTGACGTGGTGGTCGGGTATGGTGATCGGGCTTGCCTATCGTGATGAAACAACCAAGCTATACTGGCTGGAACAACTGTTCATCAAGGTCCTACCATGTCAGACAGGTCGGTTGAAGAGCAGTCAGACTGAAATCAACAAACCCAAGGTCCGAAGGCGAAGTCGTACTGCTGACTGTACAGAGGTGTGACAGCAGTAAGGTGTTTCCTTCAGACAACCAGAATGACGGCGATGCTACCTTCCCAAAACAAGGGGTGGGGTTAGAAATGGCCGACCACAAAAATGTACACCTCGCCTTATCCCACGGATATCCGTCTCCGGTGGTAAGGTCCCAAAAAGTACGGAGCTAACACAAAAATTACTCACAAAAAGGTCGTGTGTGACCGACCTCAAGAAGTTGTCCCTTGGGCACTGTGGTCACGCTCCCAGGTTACTAAGACCACCTCTAATCCAATTTCCTTTTAAGGTACCTCCAGAAGAACCCTTCCACGATGTGGGCAGCCGGGAAATGATAACCGACCTCATACCTCTAACAGCACTCAAGACCACTGTATTCATAATCAACCTCCGTCTTCACTTTCTATTATTCCTCCTACATCGACTTTCACCTCTAAACTTCCTTTCTCGGCTTCCTCCTCAAATGTCACCATAGCCAAAGATTCTAGTGCTCAAAACACTGTCCCAGGTCTACTGAAACCTCGCTCCAAACTACACATTGGAGCCTTCAACGTACGCACCCTATGTCAAATCGGTCAACAGGCTTCCTTGGCTAGAACCCTAGAATCTCGTACCATTGATGTATGCTGTGTCGAGAGATGCAATCTCATGGTAGCCAGTGACCAGCAATCCCGACCGTTATATCGGAAAAAGGCGATACTCTCATCTGCTCCCAGTCCAGACGTTTAGAACGATGGGCAAAACATTTTAGAGAACAGTTCAGCTGGCATTCAGCTACTCTACAACTACCCTCCATTCCCAGACAGCGTGAATGGAACATTGAAGTAGGTCCCCCAACTCTAGCTGAAGTTCAAAAGGCTATAGTTAATCTGAAACGAAGAAGTGCAGCTGGTCCAGATGGACTGGCTGCAGAAGTCTTTAAGGATGGTGGTCCAATTTTAGCTAAAATCTGGGAGTTAGACGTTATCCCATCTGACTGGTCACAATCACTTATCGTCCCAATATATAAGAAAGGGTCAAAATCATCCTGTGACAACCATAGACGGATTAGTTTGACTAATATAATATCTAAAATACTAGCCTCGATAATTATCAGACGCTTAACTAAGACTCGTGAACTGCAAACACGAGAGAATCAAGCTGGCTTCAGACCTGGTTGTGGCTGCATCGACCACATATTCACCATTCGTCAGGTTCTAGAACACAGGCATACTTATCGGCGTCCGACAATGGTGGTCTTTCTCGACTTAAAAGCAGCATTTGACTCGGTAGACCGCGAGATTCTGTGGCAGTGTCTGTCATTGAAAGGCGTACCCCAGAAGTACATAAACCTTGTAAAGGCTCTCTACTCGAACACTACTAGTCGAGTCAGGGCTTATGGCGAACTGTCATCTGCTTTTGCAACCTCAAGTGGTGTCCCTAAAGGCTGTCCACTTTCTCCATTTTTGTTTAACTTCATCAAAGATCTACTGATGGAAATAACTTTCTCGTCGACTGAGTTCTCGGGTATTGATCTCTTTCCAGGAGGTCCACTTATCGACTTAGAATACGCGGATGACATAGTCCTGTTTGGTGAAGACGCTGACAAAATGCAGAGTCTTCTGGTAGCACTGAGCAACAATGCCAGGATGTTTGGAATGCGCTTCTCTCCCTCGAAATGCAAGCTGCCGCTTCAGGACTGGTCTGCGTCAACACCTAAACTAAGGATAGGGAGTGAAGTAGTCGAAGGCGTTGACAACTTCACTTATCTTGGAAGTCTGATCAGCCCTAATTGGTCAATGTCTGACGAAATCTCAGCACGGATTCGAAAAGCTCGTTTGGCTTTTGCCAACTTACGTCACCTATGGCGAAGGCGAGATATCCGTCTATCAATAAAAGGACGAGTATACTGCGCGGATGCGAAACATGGCCATTAAGAGTAGAAGACACTCGTAAGCTACTAGTATTTGACCACAGATGCCTCAGAAATATTGCTGGCGTATGCTGGGATCACCGAGTAAGTAATAGGGAGGTTAGACGCAGTGTATTACGGAATGACGGTAAATCAGTTGATGAGGTTATGAATCTTCACCGACTGAGATGGTTGGGCCACGTGTTACGTATGCCCAAACACCGATTACCACGACGTGCAATGCTAACCGGTGTTCGGGATGGTTGCAAGAAAGTTAGGAGTGGCCAAACCAAAACATGGCATCAGTCCTTGAAGTTACTAACTTCTAGTCTTAGCCATGTCGGTAGATGCAGAATCTCCGGTTGGGGTCCGCGTGACTATCCTAACCAATGGTTGGAGACTCTTGGTGACATGGCTCAGAATCGATCACAATGGCGTCGGTGTATACACTCTCTGTCTTCCATTAAACTAAGAGATTAAAATCGCTTCATATCTTTCTTTCTACGAACCAATTCTTTCTTCCTGTACTATATCCTTATTGCAATCTTTCTTTTATATATTACCACCTCTGAATTAACTACTTTTATGAATCCGGTGTCCATCTTGTTGTGTTAATGAGGTATGGCAACTTGGACCGATGCGTATATGTGCCTGGTCCTACGCTGTAGCTGACTGACTGACTGACTGATACACTTCTAATTTGCTTACAAACATGCAATTATATGTCAGTCAGTCAGTAACAACGTAGAACTTCGTACGTACGTACATCAGTTCGAGTTGCCATACCACATTAGCACAGAGATGCAGTGGTCAATTCAAATCCCGTAGTGCTAGATGTAGTAAAATTATAAGCTGTAATCAGAAAAATTAGGGTTTGAAGATGTTATTCAATGAGTATAATCCAGTGAAATAAATTTGGAAAGAGAAGAAAGAAAGGGACATGAAGAATTCAGAAGATTAGAATTTGGGAGAACACAGAGAGTGGATGCACCTGCGCCATTGCAAACGATTTTGAGCCATGTCATTCAGGGTCTCTAACCATCGGTTGCTATCATCTCGCGGTCCCCAACCAGGTAGTCTACACCTACCAACATGACTCAGTCTACTTGTCAGTGACTTCATGGACTTGTGCCATGTTTTGGTCTGGCCGCCCCTAGCTT